GTATTATGTGTCTGAGGCCAGATTTGAACTCAGGTCCTCCTGACTTCAGGGCCAGTGCTCTATCCACTGTGCCACCTAGCTGCCCCATAATGATTCCATTCTCAATAATTTTTTTTTGTTTTATAAAATTTGTTATTTTCCACAAAATACATTATTTATATTTATTCATAATTGTTTAATATTTTAAATATGTGTTAATATTTTTAAAATTTTTACCAGTTTTAATTTCTAATATAGTAAATACTTATCACCATCACCTACATAAACAAAAACTCTTTGGGTCCTTTATAATTTTTAAGAGATTAAGGGGGTCTTGATATTAAAAATTCTGAAAACTTCTACCTCAAAGGAACAAAAGAGTTTTTCTCCCAGGCATTTATAATCTCTTTTCTCATAACAATTATAATGATTAAAATTCACATTGACATAGTACAGTTTTAATTAAAATGTATTTTATAATGCCTAATCATTCCTGTTTCTTGTTATTACAACTTACTTTTTCTTGACCTGTCTGGTAAAAAAAAATGGTCTCTACTTATTGTGTTAGGGCAGCTTCCTCAATGGCCATCTGTAGAGGCACAGTAGCCTCCTCAATGGCAGCCCGTTATGGTATGGTAGCCTCTGCAGTGGTGTCTGTAGCAGTATGGTAGCTTGTTCAATGATTGCCCCACATAGCTGAGGCTTTCTGTTCTTAAGGGAAATGAGGATAGCTTCTTCCTATCAGACTGAAAAAGGATTGTTGTTGAGGGGATTCCCGTCAATTGGGGAATGGATGAATAAGTTGTGGTATATGAGTGTAATGGAATACTATTGTGCTATAAGAAATGATGATCAAGCAGACTTCAGAAAAACTTAGAAAGACCTGTATGGACTGATGGTGAGTGAAGTGAGCCAAACCAGGAGAACGTTGTACACAGCCACATTGTGAGATGACTAACTTCTATAGACTTAGCCCTTCTACACAATGCAAGGATAAGACATCTCTGAAAGTCTCATCATGGAAAATGCTATCCACACCCAAAGAAAGAACTATGGAGTTTGAATGCAGATCAAAGCATACTATTTGCTCTTTTTTTTCTTTTCTTTTCTTTTGTTTCCTTTCTAGTGGTTCTTCCTATTGGTTCTAATTCTTTTTTACAACATAGCTAAAGTGAAAATATGTTTAATAGGCATGTATATGTAGAGACTATATCAGATTGCATGCTCTCTTGGGGAGGGAAGGAGGGAGAAAGTGGGAGAAAATGTTAAAACTCAAAAGTGTATGGAAGTGATTGTTGAAAACTAAAAATAATTTTTTAAATATAAAAAATAAAAAAAATAAAAACCATCTTACAATATGGGCTGTCTGCCTTAAAAAAGAAAAAAAGAAAAGAAAAAGGATTGTTGGAAAAACTCTTCAAGAATATATTTCAGCAAGGCAGCTAAGATGGCACAGTGGATAAAGCACTGACCCTAGTGTCAGGAGATTGGGAATTTGGAACTTAAAAAATGTTTTAAATGTTAAAATGTGTGTGTGTATACATTTTTTACCTGTGATTGGGGAAAATTAAAGATTAAGAATGGGCTTCAGAGAAATTCATTGCTGTTGAAATGATACTTCTTTTTTCATTGAGTCCAAATTTCCCTAGAAGTTTAGGGGCTCCACTTGGCTTCTCTTTCCTGTTGATGTTCCAAGGGTGTTTTTGAATAGCTGAAGGAGCCTCACCCTTTTGTTAACATCATCTTTATTTTCAAAAAATAATTCAAGCATTTATCAAGTGAATATTATGTACAAAGTATACCTTATAAAAACTTTATTTACTGGTAGGCTTCAATTTTATAAGGAAGACAGTAATAGCTTACACTTACTTAAAGCTTTAAAGTTGACAAAGCACTTTCCTCACAATAACTCTGTGCAGGTATCACAGAACCTGAGAATTGGAAGATACCTGAAAGGCAATCTTTTCCAACAGGTAACTGACCCAAAAATCTCCATAGAACATCCCTGGCAAATGGTCATATTTAAATCTTTTTTATTTTTCAAAAAACTTTCAATAAACATCTTTATTAAGAGCTTGGTCATCATCAATGAATATTTCCACATAAAAGACAGAAAAGGAGAATTTCATTTAAAAGAGGCCTGTCAAGTGACCAGACCTGATTTGGAACAACTGAATTATATCAAATATTCTAAGAATAATTCATTGCAATATTACATAAACTTTGTGCAAAAATAAGGAAAGAGAATCTATAAAACAACATAAGTGACACAAATATGTTCTTCATACCTAAATCAGGTAAAGAGATGAAACAGAAAAAAAGCTATAGACAAATATCCCTCAGGAATATTAATATAAAAAATCAATTAAAATATTAGGAAAGAGATTACAGTAGGTTAACAAAAACGTTAAATGCTGTGACCAGCTTGGATTCATGGCAAGATTGGAGGACTGGTTTAATATCAGGCAAACAACAAACATAAGAAATCATAGTGATAACAAGAACAAAAAAAATTTGACTATATCAATAGATGTAGAAAAAGTTTTCAGATAAAATATAACACCAATTTCTGGTAAAAAAATACTAAAAAGTATAAGAATAAATTGACTTTTCTTTAACATGGCAAACTGTGTCTATTTAAAAAGAAGAGCTAGCATTACACATAACTGCGACTAACTAAAGGTCTTTTCAATAAGGTAAAAGCATAAGTATAGATGGGCAAATCAGCACAGCTCCTCATAAGAGGTAGGCCCTTAATAATTTGGGGGGGGGGCTAGGAAATGGAGTTAAATAACTTGCCCAGGGTCACACAGCTGGTAAGTGTCAAGAGTCTGAGGCCAGATTTGAACTCAGGTCAGTCCTGATTCCAGGGCCAGAGCTCTATCCACTGTGCCACCCAGCTGCCCTAGCACTTAAGAAACTTTTAATAAATTGGTCTCCTTTCAACCAGTCTCTCCTTTCCAATCCATTCTTCACATAACTGCCCAACTAATATTTCTCAAATGCAAGACTCACCATGTCACTTCTGCTCAAAAAGCTTCAGTGAAAGATAGAGAGGCTCAATGAAAAAAAGTATTGCATCTGGCACTTTCATTTGAAACCTGGTTTTTGCCTCTTCCTCCCTGTGTGACCCTAGGCAAATCAAATGGCTTCCATGGGCCTCAATTTCATCCTCTGTAAAATGAAAGATTAAACTATGTGACCTCTAAAGTCCTTTTCAGCTCAAAATCTATGATCTTATGATTCTGTGATCTACTCACTAATTCTCCTAGGATAAAATACAAACTATTCAGCCCGGCATGTAAAGCCTTCTATAATCTGACTTTGATTTACTTTCCAGACATTTTATATTACCCCTTCTCATCTCCTACCTCTGCATTATCACTAAGCCTTTCCCAATGATTAGAATGCACTCCCTCTTCACCTCTATTTCCCTCAGAAAGACCTGAGTTCAAATGCTGACTTACACACTTATTAGCTGTGTGAACCCAGGCAAATTCACTTAACATGTCGGCCTGTTTCCTCACCTGTAAAAAGGGGATACAACATCCTCCTAACAAGGTTGTAACACATGTAAAGTGCTTTCCAAACTTAAAGTGATATAAATGCTAGCACTTATGATGATTTCCCTCCTAGTTTGCTTTGACTTTATCATCATGACTCCATTGCTGGAGTCAACTGGGATCTTCTTTCATCACCTAGAGCTCAAACCATGGAAAATCCCTTCTCCATGTCATTCCCTTTTACCATTGGTGAGTTCCTTCCATGGGCCTCCCTTGTGTGGAAAGGTCCAGGGAAGCCATTCTTCTTGGACTTTGCCACCACAGCCCATCAACAAGTACTTTTTCCCCTTCATTCCCCTTTCTAGCTCCATGTGTTGTCTTCCCCCATTAGAATGTAATCTCCTTGAGAGCTTTGTTTTTGCTTATCTTTGTATCCTCAGCACTTAGCACAGTGCCTGTAAGCACTTAATAAATAAATACTTGTTCCCTGACTGTTGCCAAATGAAACATTGCCTTTCACCTTTTGATAGGGAGGTGAGGTGACAGACTCAAGGTGTAAAATAAGACATGTATTTTCAGAAACAGCTAGTGTAAAAATCTGTTCTACTTGGCTATGCATTTTTTTTCCAGTAAGGATAGGGGTGGGAAGTAGGATAAGGGAGGATGGAGAAGGAAAGATGGGAAAGAAAAAAAAGAAAGAGAAAGAGAGAAAGGGAGAGGAAGGAAGGAAGGAAGGAAGGAAGGAAGGAAGGAAGGAAGGAAGGAAAGAAGGAAGGAAGGAAAGGAAGGAAGGAAGAAAGGAAAAAAGGAAAGAAAGGAAAGAAGGAAGAAAGAAAAAGGAGGGAAAGAAGAAGGAAAGAACATTGAGGGCTTATTTTTTTAATGCTGAGATCAAAAGCCAAAAAGTACCACAAATAAGCAGGACAGCTTTGAAGCTACAGGTTGAACTTATTAAATATGGTACTTTAAAAGAAAACTAAGATATATGAAAGATAAGCCTACAATTTTATGTAAATTTTTTTCTACTATACAACATACATGTAATTTTTATTTTGTTTGGTAAGTTAAAAACAGAGAGCAAAAAAAAATGGGAGAAATATTGTGGAGAAAAGGAATGGTCCAACAGACCTGGAGTACACAAGATACTGTTTCATTTGTTTTTAAAAAGGGAAGAAAGTAGAATAAATACTATAAGCCAGCAAGTTTAAATTCAACTTCTTTGAAATATTAATAATGCATTCTTAAAGAAATAGTGAATAGAATGTCATTTAATGCACTAATCTTAAAGTGCAAACCTGGCTCTTCATTTGAGTTCTGTTCCTCTCAAACTCTTCCCATGGCTCTGCAGTCAGAAATCTAGCTCTCCTCTGAAGACTCTGCATTCCTCAATAATCCGTATGATACTGGAAATACCTTTTCTCATACATATCTAAAATTTCTATCAAGGTTGTGATTTTCATATGTGGAAGTATGTATGGAGCATTTACTTAGTTTGGTTTTAGAAACAACACAGAAACAGACATTATTAAACATAAGTTTATTAATCCCCCCAAATATACCTCTACCTCCAATTAACTGAGTTATACAACAGTGCTTGCAAAGCCACAATTCCATCACTATTCAGACTTGCTCTCTCATTTTTGGGCTATACAATAGAACTAAGAAGGAAGAGAGAACACCACCATTAATTTTTTTCTTCACTCAACTGCTTAAAAGGATAAACAAGTACATTTAATCTCCCTATATATTCCTAATTTTAATAGGTAAGGATCAGGGCAGGAGAAGTGATCAGTTGAAGTTTATGCTTTTCTAAGTTCTTAGTCATTCACACCAACATTAAAAAAAAAAAATTTAAAAACATGCAGGCCAAAGCACTGTTTTAAAATTCTTTCAAGGCATACTTTATGTCAAGATGTAATTTATAATGTTTTAAAAGCAGTAAGCAAGTTTCCATAAAAAGGACAAATTCCTAGAAAGTATAAAAAGTCATTCTTTAGCTGGAAGTAGAGAAGACTCCATTTTCTTATTTTCCTCAGTTTGAAGTTTGGATTTCTCCTTAAAGGCAGCTTTCATTCTTTTGACTGTGGAAAGGTCCCATAATCCATCAGGCCAATTGTCATGGTCTGTTAAGATTAAATGAGTGAAATAACCCTTGAGTTGTTATTGGCAAATGTATGATTTTTTTTTCCTTTTGGGAAATAAACATATTCCTAAACCCATCCCAGGCCTAGGACTGTCTTTCCAACAAATCCCCTAAAACTAGTGGGGGCAACCCCATCATTATCAGAACATTGAACACATTCACTAATTATGATTTAATTAACTCGTATTATTAAGGCATTATATGACATTGGTCTGAACAGAGGTAATATTACATAATCAAAAATCTGACATAAAAACATGATTATGGACTATAATTGGTGGGTTTGGTTTTGATGTTTGTGATAGCATCTTTTTTATTGTAAAAAAGATTTCATTTTAGGGATACAGCTTTTATGCAAAGGTGACCTATATTCAGAACAATACACTTTAGTTCTTCAACAGATCCAGCATCTTGATGATGTTGGTACCGCTTCCTAGCTAAATGGCATAATGCATAGAGTGCTAGGCCTGGTGTAAGGAAGATGAGTGGAAATATGGTCTCACACACTTACTAGCAGTGTGATCTTGGGTGAATCAGTTTGCCTCAGCTTCCTTATCTATAAAATGGGGATAATAGCACCTGTCTCCCAGGGTTGTTGTGAGGATTGCCTATAATAGCATCATACATTTAGAGCTAGAAGCAATCCTAGAGGTCATCTATTCCAAACTCCTCCCACCCTTTTTTCACAAACAAGGAAACTTTTCTTTTTTCTCTTTTCATCAAAGATATCCTTAACTATGAGGTGCTGAACATTGCTAGAGAAAGTCATGAAAGCAAACCATCGTTTTCATGGAGGGGTGGGAGAGAGGAGACATCAGGGAAGGCTTCCTGGAGGATGTGGCACTGAGTTGGACATTTAAAGAACAGGAAGAACGTCAAGGCATAGAAATGGCTCAGAGGAAAGGAATCCATTCCAGGCATGGGGAAGAGAGTGAGCAAAAGCATGGAAAGGGGAGAAAAGATTCACCTGAGAAATGGAGAGTAGTACAGTTTGGCTAGAAGGCAGACTACCTGAAGGTGAATACTATGAAATGAGGTTGAACATGAAAGTAGGAGTCAGATCGTGGAAACCTCTGTCTGGCAAGATAAGGAGATTTCGTTTATTTGACAGTCAGTGGGGAGCTACTCTAGGCTATTAAGTAGAGGACAAGTGTGACCTTGGACATCCAGCCACCTATTAGGCTGGCCTTTAAGGTATCTCCCTCCCACTTCTAGATCTCTTAATCTTTTGAACATCTCATCTTACCCACTAAGTGTGAGTGTCCCACAAGGGCCTGTCCTGAACCTAATTTTAACCACTTAATCCCTTGGGGAGCTCCTCAGCTTGTGTGGGTTCAATTTTCACCTCTATGCAGAAAAATTTCCTGTATATTCCTTTCGGTTTGGACCCAAGTTATTTCTTTATCCAGCCCAAATGTCTCTCCTGAACTTCTGTCTTGTATTACTAAGTACCTTACCTTGCCCACAGTATATTTGCTGAATTGAACTGATAAATGTGTAGATCTATCTCTTAAAGTTTTGACAGAGATGAGAAAGAAAACAAATTGGTCTGTAGTTATTAACAATTTCTGGATAACCTTTTTGTTGGTGATAATAGCGACTTTGATTTATTTCCAGTTGTTTTTATCCTTTTTCATATTATCATATCAATCCCCCAATACTTTTAAAATTGTATCACCCTCAGTACAGATTTCTTCCATAAGTACTTGGTATGATTCAGCTGTTCTTTGTATCTTCACCTGCTTTGCTACCATTTCCACTCTCTAATATATCACATTGGAGAAGGGTGTGAAAAATCCAAACATGATCATTTAATCAATCAAAAAGTATTTATCAAGAGCCTACTACGTGTGATGTATTGTTCCAAGATCTCAGATGCTGGTACAAAAAAAAAAAATGAAAGAATCCCTATTCACAGGGAATGTACATTCCATTGCACAACCTCTGGTTTTGATTTGTATCTCTTACACTTATCCCTGTGATTTGCACATAAATGCTTAATGAATGCTTTCCAAAATAGTAATTAAATGGGGAAGTATATACATAAATACAACAAATATAAAGTTAATAAATACAAATATGTGCAAAGTATTTGAATATGAGGGAGTTTGGGAGGGAGTTGAGATGGATCAGGTAAAGCTTCCTGCAGCAAATGGTGGCTGAGCAAAGTCTTAAAGAAAGAGAGGGACTCTATGAGGTAGAAGTAGGAGGGGAGTTCACTCCACACATATGGGTTGGCTAATGCGAAGGCATGGCAAAGAGAGGGTGGAATGTTATATGTGAAGAATAGAGAGAAGGGGAATAGAGTGTGGGAGGGGAATAATGTCCAATGACATTAAGAAGATAGGTTGGTGCCTCTTCATGAAGGGGTTTCAAAGATAAAAAGGAGTTTTCTATTTTATTCTAGAAGCAATACATTACACACTGGAGTTGACTAAGTAGCAAGAAGAGAAGAGGAAGCTTATGATGGACATAATCTGTTATATAAACACTGCCATAGCTGTTCCACTTTTGCTGTTTTCCTAATTTCATTTCTAAATTCTCTCAAGATAATCTGACTTAGAACTCAAACAAAGTTTTCTTCAAGATTTTTCCCCCTCCACTCTCTACACTGATTTGTGAGGTAATAGCACTCATAATTTTCCTCCTTCCTCCTCTGTAACATTCCACAAATGAAATCATATCCTAAAATTGTATTATCTTTGGATGCTGGATATCTCTGTTTGGCAAAGGAGGTTTTGAGCTGTTTTGACTTTCCTGATATGATTTCTATTTTATGTTGGCTAAACTTGTTTACGCAATAGTGATGATCAATAATAATGTCTTTTTCTTTACACATGTCCCAATTATCAGCATCAACAGCTTGTTTTAATAGGTCACAATGATATCATCCTTGCAGGCAAAGTTCTTCTCATTCTTATCCTTTATTCTTACTTAGTACTTATTTTAAACTTTATTCTAACTAGTAAAACATTTCACTACATACAGAATTATTTTGGGGTCTCTATTTCCATCCACCCAGTCAGTCAAGACAGTCAACATATATTTAATATATATTAACTGATTGATCCAAACTGAAAAGAGAGAGAAAATTGATTTTCTATATAGCCAAATTCTACAAAGAGTTTATGTTAAAAGATAATTTCATTTTCAAATTATTTAGCATAAATTTAGGAGTTTTCTCTTTTTGCTTCAATGGAAAGAGAGAGAGAGGGAGAGGCAGAGGAAGACGGAGAGGGAGAGGGAGAGGGGGAGAGAGAGAGAAAGAGAGAGAGAGAGATATCAAAATTTAAAAGCCCAAACAGCAAGGTACAAAGTTGTTGATTACTCATTTTTCTTTATGACTCACCTGGTATATCCCACATTTGGGAATATAAAGTATTACCACCATCGACATTCACTGTTTGTCCTGTAATATATGAGGCAGCAGGAGATAACAAGAAACACACCATGGAAGAGATCTAAGAAATAAAATATAACTATTTTATATTCATGTGTTCAGCATGACATATAGATCCATATATATACACACACATATATATTTCTAAGTGAATGTGTATATACATACACATATATATATGTAGATATAGCTTCTAGGCCCATGGCCCTATACATATGTATGGTTCCTATTCTTGATATTCCTGGATTCCATATTTTAAAGCAAAACTCTGACTACAAATGTGCTTTATGCATCCTAACTATGCATTGTTTTATTGCTTTTGTCTGAATAATTGTGGAAATTACTGAACAAGAAGGTAAAAGTAGAAAAGGTAAAGGCCAATTCCTTTTTTTTTTGTCTGTATGGAATGAATTAATGGTGAAATATGAAGTAGTACAGAGTGCAGACTGCCTAAATACAATCAGATATGTGTGTACATTCAATACACTAGATATAATCAATAAAATGAATATTCATTTGTCATACATATGAATAACCTATAATATCCACATATATATATTTATATATTTTATATATTTTTATATATAAATATATGTATGTATGTGTGTGTATGGCTCATATTTTCTCAATGTAAAATTAGCATTATTTTTGTTCATGTATTGGGATGAAAAGTTTTGCTGTTTTAAACTTCAAATTAGGCACTATTCCTCCAGTACATGTAAAAAGTCTTCCATCCATTCATCTAAACACACATGTTCCAAATTACCAAATCCATTATCTCAAGATAATTAACTTAGGGAAACTGGATGCTAGTTGGTATACATAATTAAATGACTTAGACCTTTCTTAGAGCTCACTAATCTGAAAGACCACATTAATTGAGAAAGAGCAAATGTGCATTACCCACAAAATGATGAGTTATGAAATGCATATGGTTCTGATAGTTTTTCCCTAACTGCATCTGAAGGCACTGAAGACCAAATACCTTTCTTCTGTCTATTCACACAGCCTTGTGCGAACATCTTCCAACTGATTTCTATCAACTGAGCACTTTGCATCCCAGAAAACTGTATCAACCAAAACTTTAGTGGATCCATTAACTATTTGAAGTTCTTTTAAAAGTTGAATGGGAAGATGTTCCCTCAATAGTTTTTTTCTGCCCTCCTCTCTTTCCCAATGTTCCTTGAAGCTCTAATATTCTGTGGCTATATGAAAAATTTTGGATAGAGAGAAGGAAGAAGGATGAGAGAAAAGGAGGGAAGAGAATGAGAGATAGACATGGGGAATAGAGGAAAAAGAAGAGGGTGGGAAGAGAGACAGATACACAGAGAGACAGACAGAGAAAGAGAGATTACCTCCTCAGGAACACCATGTCTCTTAGCTGCACAATGTTGAAAGCATGCTATAATTTTGTCCTTTCCAAAGTCTTCATAGTTGCTGAAGGATGTTGCGGAATAAATTGCTCCCTAGGTTGAGGGACAAAAAGGGAACATTTTAAAAATTGTTTAAGCCAAAGAAGAGTTGAATTTCAGCTAGAACTACCAGCAAAGAGATGTAAACAGCAGAAGAGATTAGATATAGAGGTCCCTAGAGCTACTATGTATGCTTCTCAGCAATATCATGTACAATTTGTTCTCCCCAAGTGGATTACCTACTAATATGGAAATATATACCAACTGGGGTCTCTGACCTAGTTGCCCCATCAGGCCAGTAAGGGCATACAAGGAAAAACTTTATTTGTCAGTAGCACTTAGAATGTATGGCCTAAACTTAAAAAAAAAAAGCCAATGTCATTTTTGACAGAGATTTATGTCTGGATATTTTACTATACACTGAATATTTTCCTGCTAGTTAGCATATGTTTTGCCAACTTATTACTCTTCCACCCTCCTTACCACTTTGACTTGATGTTCATTGCCTCCAGCTTTTCTCAAGGAGTTAAAGCCAAACAAACAAAACACATGAATGAGCTAGAAAAATTTTTCATAAATTTTGTTATACATCAAAGAATACTTTGACAATATATAGAATCTCTCTCTAACTTGTATCTTGTCTAATGTTCTGTTTTGTAGTTAATATTAACATAGAATGTATCTATGACTAACAAGGAAAACGTGACAATAAGTACACAAATTGCATACACATAACTGGTTACTTACAGGACTGATGCAATTGATTCTTATTCCATGGCAGGCCCATTCCATTGCTAAAGTTTTGCTCATATTTTCAACACCAGCTCTTGCTGCTCCACTGTGACTTTTAAAGAAAAAAAATTAAGACTTCATTCAATTTCCACTAATGATTCATATTTTCATGAAAACTAACTGGTGTACTAAGTCACAGAAGAATAGTTCAAACAAGATACTCCTATTTAGAAATACTTGGGACTATACCAATACTGATTGTCTTGTAGAAAATAAGAGGAAACAGTTTCACATTTCTAGCAAGTTCCAAGAAGTTATCCTGGAAACCAAAATAAAACTCCCTATGTACCACCCAAACTTATGAAAATAAGTAGCAAAACCACTCTTTAAAAGATATTATGGGGGCAGCTAGCTGGGGCAGTGGATACAGTACCAGCCCTGGATTCAGGAGGACCTGAGTTCAAATCCAGCCTCAGACACATAACACTTCCTAAGTGACCCTGGGCAAGTCACTTAACTACATTTCCTAGGCCAAAAAAAAAAAAAAGAAGATATTGTGTTAGGCCATGGGAACCCATACTCAAAAATTAAAACAAAAACAACTTTGATATTACATTTAGAGGTGGTGCACAGACTATGGTTGGAGCTTGGAAATCTGATTATACAAAGTTATTTGATGTAAAGACACTCCTTCACATATCTTCCTTCCAATTAGACAATGCTGGTAAGAAATAAAGAACAACTGGGAACTTACGAGTAGCACTTTGAAAACAAAGAATTTAGTGCTGGTATCTTTTTAAAAAATTACTAGATGCTTCAGTTTCTAATGATTTGTTACATTTCATTCTACCCAAAGATCTTTACTCAGTCTGCAACCTGGTATCAAGTGTCTATCATTGTCCCACTTTTATTTTATCTGAAAGATTTCATAACTAATTAGTCTCTCAAGTTTGCCTGTTTCACTAAATTGCTTTTTATGTGAGGAAGGACATTTTGAGAATAAAAGCAGAAGCCCTACTTGAGAAAATAAAAGATGAAAAGGTGTTCTGTAAAAAGAGAACAAACAATTAAGAAATAGCATTGGGAGCCAAGATGGCAGAAAAAAAAAAGCAGGGACCCCCCCTGTGCTCTCCCAAAAACTCTTCTAAAAACTTTAAAGAATATCTCTAAACAAATTCTGGAGTGGCAGAACACACAAATGAGAACACACAAAGATTGGGATGAAACAATTTTTCAGCCGAAGACAACTTAAAAGGTCTGCAGGAATGGTCTGTTGCAGGGTGAAAGTACAGGTCAGTTCAGCACAGGCCATGCCACAGTAAACCAGCAGTAAATCTGAGTTGGTACTATATCAGTGGCAGCAGTGACAGTTTCAGGACCTCTCAGCCCACAGATGGAGAGGGAGTCTGACAACCGTTCAGAAGGAGATTACAGAGGTTCCTTGGGCTAGCACCAGGGGCAGGAATCTATTGCATTGTCCATACTTGAATTTGAGTCACAGCCATGTGACCCCAGGGTGAGGAGGAGCACTATTATGCCAGAGCTTGTGGCCACAGGGGAGCTGACACCTTATTCACAGTTCCAGGCAGAAAAGAGTGATTGTGATCAGAGACTAGAGCACAGGCCAGGAGAGCAGTAAACACAACTCACCCTAGATCATATTTCCTTGGAAGTACCAAAAACTTACAGGTCCTCAGAATTATCTCTGGGAAAAAAAAAACCTGAAGCTTGGGACAATGCCTCCTCCACTCTAGAAGCAGAATTCCAGCTTAACATAGAATTAAAAGTCAAATAGGCTGGAAAAATTAGCAAAGAGCAGAAAAAGATCGTATCTATAGAAAGTTACTATGGGAACAGGGAAGATCAAAACATAAACTCAAATGAAGACAACAAAGTCAAAACTCCTATATCCAAAGCCTCAAATAAAAATATGGATTGGGCTCAGGCCATGGAAGAGCTTAAAAAGGAATTTAAAAATCAGGCAAAAGAGGCAGAGGAAAAATTGAGACGAAAAATGAGAGTAATGTAAGAAAATCATGGGGAAAAAAGGCAACATCTTGGTAAAGGAGACACAAAAGATACTGAAGAAAATAACATCTTAAAACACAACAACAACAACAGAATAAGCCAAATGGTAAAAGAATCACAAAAATCCAGTGAAGAGAAGAATGCCTTGAAAAGCCAAATTTGTCCAACAAACAAACAAAAAAGATCTACAAAAATGGTACTTCCAAGGAAGGGAAGAACTCTTTAGGAAGCAGAATTGGCCAAGTGGAAAAAGAGGAACAAAAATTCATTGAAGAAAACAACTCTTTAAAAAGTAGAACTGGGCAAATGGAAAAGGAGGTTAAAAAGTTCACAGAACATCACTCCTTGAAAGTTAGAATGGGGCAAGTAGAAGCTAATGACTCCATGAGACCTCAAGAAACAATCAAACAAAATCAAAAGAAGGAAAAAATAGAAGAAAATGTGAAATATCTCTTTGGAAAAACAACTGACATGGAAAAGAGAACCAAGAATGATCACTGAAGAATTATTGGACTACCTGAAAGCTGTGATCTAAAAAAGAGCCTAGACATCATCTTTCAAGAAATTATCAAGGAAAATTGCCCTGATACCCTAGAACCAGAGGGTAAAACAGAAATTGAAAGAATCCATTGTTAGCCTCTTGAAAAAGATCCCAAAATGAAAGCTGTCAGAAATATTATAGCCAAATTCCAGAGCTCCCAGATCAAAGAGAAAATATTGCAAGCAGCCAAAAAGAAATATTTGAAATATCATGGAGTCCCAGTCAGGATAACATGATTTAGCAGTTTCTTCATTGCAGGACCAGAGAGCTTACAATATAATATTCCAGAGAGCAAAGGAGCTAGAATTTCAACCAAGAATCACATACCCAGCAAAACTGAGTATAATCCTTCAGGGAGAAAAAATTAATATTCAATGAAATAGAGGACTTTTAATCCCTCCTGTTACACAGACCAGAGACAAATAGACAAATAGAAAATTTGACATTCAAATACAAATTTCAAGAAAATCATAGAAAGGTAAACAATTAAAAGAAATCATAAAGGATTCAAAAAGATTTAACTGTTTACATTACAACGTGGGAAAATGATACTTGCATCTTCTAAAAAGTTACTCATTATTGGGGCAGTTATAAAAGAGTATATATATAAACAGAGGCCACAAGTGTGATGATATCTTAAAAAATAAAATCAAGGGGTGAGAAAGCGAAATGCACTAGGGAAGGGGAAATGGAGAGGTCGAATCAGGTAAAATCTGACATAAAAGAGGGACAAAGGGATTTTACAGTGGAGGAGAAGATGATAAATGTAGAGGGCAGGTCTGATGCATGAACCTTACTCTCATCAGAATTGGCTGACAGAGGGATAATATACTCAGAGGGAAATCTATCTTCCTCTACAGGAAAGTAGGAAAGGTAGCAGATGGGGTGGGCAAGGGTGAGGGAGATAATAGGGAGGGCAGATTGGTGTAGATAAAAGTCAGAAGCAAAACACTTCTGAGAATGGGCAGGTGAAAGGAGAGAGAAAGTAGGAGAAACACAGGATGAAGGGAAATATATAGCAATCCTAACTGAAAAAAGTGTTATAGCAAATTTTCTGATTCAGACCTCATTTCTCAAACATATAGAGAACTGAGCTAAATTTATAAGCCACTGCTTAATTGATAAATGGTCAAAGAATATGAACAAGTGGTTTTCAGGTATAGTAATTAAAGCCATCTATTGTCATATGAAAAATTTTCTAAATCACTATTGAGTAGAGAAATGCAAATTAAAACAACTCTGAGCTACCACCCCACACCTATCATATTGGCTAATATGACAGAAAAGAAAAATGATAAATGTTGGAGGGGATGTGGGGAAATTAAAACACTAATGCATTGTTGGTGAAGTATACTGATTCAATCATTCTGGAGAGCAATTTAGAACTATGCCTCAATGGCCTATAAAACCGTGCATACCCTTTGATCAAGCAATATAACTAACAGGTCTATATCCCAAAGAGACAAAAAAAAAAGGAAAAGGATCTGTATGTACAAAAATATTTATAGCAGCTCTTTCAGAGGTGGCAAATGATTGGAAATTGAGGGGATGTCCATCCATTTGGCAATGGCTGAACAAGTGGTTGTATATGGTTGTGATGTAATAATGCTATGACATAGGAAATGACAAGCAGGATACTCTCAGTAAAACCTGGAAAGACTTACATGAACTGAGGTAACATAAAATTAGCAGAACCAGGAGAACCTTGTATACAGTAAGAGCAATATTGTATAATGATCAACAGTGAATGACTTATCTATTTTCAGCAATACAGTGACCCAAAACAATTCTGAAGGACTTATGAAAACAGTATCGATTTCTAGAGAAAGAACTGATGGAGTCTCAATGTAAAGTGAAACATTTTTTTAACCTATTTTTCCTGTTTTCTTTTTTTAATCTATATTTTCTTTCACAACATGACTAATATGGAAATCTATACCAAATTGGTTGCCTTCCAAATGAAGAGGGAAGGAAGGAGAGAATTTGGAACTCTAAATTTTTAAAAATGAATGTTAAAATTTATTTTTACATGTACTTGGGGGAAAATGAAATATTAAATTAAAAAAGACAGTTCTTAGAAGAGCCTCCCCACTCCTGCCAAAAAAAAAAAAGTATTTTTAACTCACATCTGAAATACAAAAAGGCAAAAAGGCAGAAAAACATCCAAGAGAAATGGCACATACTCCAAGTAGTACCTAAGGATTTCATAGATAATTCAACCTGCAGCTATTGCAACACACAAGAAAGGACTAAAACCTGAGAAAGTCTTAAAAAAACTAGCTTTATCCTAGAGTCCTCTCTAGATAGTTAACAAAGAAAATCATGGTGAGGAGATGATGGAGGATAAGCACAATGTGTCTATGGTATGACAGACAGAAAGGATATGCAGTAGATCATCAGAAACATCTATGGCATCTATGAGTAAAGAGCTTTTGGCAGCCCTGACTATGAGTAGTATGTCAATGCTTGGCATATGCTTCGATTGCATCACCTCACACCTTATCAAAGAAGCAATCCTGTAACAAAAATGGACCTAAGCATGGTGCCAAGTGTGTAGGAATACTTTGAAAAGTATCTTCTTAGAGCCCAGAAGGAAAAAAAAAGGCAGTCTGAAAGCACAAGAGGCACTAAAACTACATTTAAGAGTTTAAGCAGGATCCCAAGACAAAAGAAGGCTTTAAAAATCTTTACGCAGCTTCAGGAAATCCATTATTCATTATGGTGATCATGTTCACAATAGACCCTCCATGTTCCTTCATCCGGGACTTGTAAGCTATATAACAGACAAAAGACAATCCAATTAAATCATTTCCAGACAACATGGGGTAATAGAATAAGGGGTGACTCTGAAATCAGATCATCTCAGTTCAAATTTCTGTTCTGCCACTTGCTACTTAAATGACCTCTTTGAGCTTCAGATCTGTCATTTACAAAATGAAGCAGTTGGATGAGATGACCTCTAACAATCCTTCCAGCTGCAGATTTTTCATCCTGAGACTTTCAGCCTGTCAAACATGTTCTTTTTAGGATATCCAAACACCAGATCAGTGGAAATTAGCAAAACACCACCAGCTTTGTTCAAAATATTCAGCTAGCTAGCATTTACATTATGCTTTAAGTTTTCAAAGTATTCTACATTGTGTCTTCTTGTTTGATCCTTACAACCCCATGAGGCAAGTAGTATTATTTTGCCATTTCACAGATAAAACTGAATTATGAGTCTCCTCTTTTAACTATAAGCTCCCAGAATATAAAGATCAGAACAAGAGCTTTCTGACAGCCTAGTTCAGGAGTTGGCAACCTACAGGCTATGAGCCAAATCTAGCCCAGCCTTCTATCATCAGAACTTTGCTTCTCCCACTCTCTCCTCTCCTTTGCTCTATTTCAGTCCTCAGTGGAGATGGCAAATGGCTGTTCCCTGTAATCCTTTGCAAACTGTTGCTGGGCATGAAGACCGCTATTCAGTTAACCCTTCAATTTGTTATCTCCAGGTTAAATAATGCCATATAAGTTTACTTTTTTAAATCTTTCTTTAGATAAAAGTCTCTTTTCCACATGTGCTTGGCTTTATTCTGATATCTGACAGGTCACAGTTCAAGCCACCACCCCAAGTGTGTTTTGGGGAAGGCCTCCAGGTTCATTTCCTGAGGATCAGCCTAAGACTGTCTGGAGGTATCCACCATCAGGAAGGCTGCAAGATGATAAATATTTTAACTACTCACAAAGGCCAGCTACTAAATGGTAGAGAGGCTTCAACATACATCAATGGAGGAAACATTCACATTTGCGAAGTCCGAGCTCTTTTAAGAACTGTGTACCTCAATACAAGTAATACTTCTGGGGGGGGGTTATGATCAAAAAATGAAGAAAGGCCTAGATTCTCTGAGCATTCACCCATCCCTACCTGCTTTGCAAAGGTAGAAAGTGCCCATCAGGTTGGTTTCGATCACAGCATTCCATCCCTTTGAAGTAATGAGTTCAGTAGGAGATAAGACTTGGCCTCCTCCATTGTTCACCAGGAAATTGATCTTACCATGGACATCTAATGTAGATTTAACCAAATTGTTGACCTAAAACAGCAGTTTGAAAGTAAATTGATCAGTGGGCCCAAACTGTTACTGGTGACCCAGTAATGAAGATTAGCAAGACTGGCATACCTCCACAATGGGTTCTAACTCCTGCTGGTTTGTGAGATCTATGTTGAGATCCATTTGGACAGTTGGTTTTGGGGGTTTTTTGTGTTTTTTTTTTTGACAGTTGGGTTTTAACATGAATTCAGTGTATTTTTTAAATCAACAATAAAAAAAGACAAGTAAAATATTCAAGCCCCCAAAAGGGAGGAATATACTCAGTGGAGGCTTTGCAGTAATAATTTGAATATAAGTCCATTTTAACTGACTGGAGCTTCTCTTTGGAAACTTCAGAAGGGGCAATAAAAATTAAGCAAGTGATCAAGTTTCCATAGTTACAATTGAGAGTCACATGTCTTTCCATATTTCAGTATTTCATAGAGTTGCACTTGTATTTGTGTTCACAGGAATACTTATTTGGGGGGAAAATAACCTTTGAGGTTGTAGTTCAGAGCAGGCTGCACATAGACAGCTGAAGCAGTTCAATCACACACCATTCATCACTCCAGCCTTTTTTCTTCCTGAGCTTCAGGTAAGACTTTCATCCATTCTCAACACCTGGATGACTTAAGAAGGACACAGAGATGACTGTTCTAGACACTGAATGGAGTTTTTTGTTTGTTTTGTTTTGTTTTGCTAGGCAACGGGGTTAAGTGACTTGTCCAGGGTCACAGAACTAGTGAGAGGAGTTTTTCACATAAATCTTGGAAGAAAACACAAATGTTTAAATTTGTTGAGGTGTGGGTAATGCTTCTGTTTGAAATGATGCTAGAAACCTCTCCAGAAAAAGGATAGCCCATATCCATCCCAAACTTGGTGGGCTGGTGACATTTCAAAGACACAGTCAGGAAGAGCAGACATTTCTCTGGAGCAGACATGTCAAACAGTTGGCCCAAGGCACTCCTAAGTGTGGCTGGAACCAGATTACAATGTAATTGGGAATTTTTAAAAAATTAATAAAAAGTACAATTAATAAAAAGTATAACACAGATAATGTTAATTTCTGGTTTTCTTAGTCAATATAAAAGTTACAGGGATCCATTTGTATTTGAGTTAGAAATTCCTACTCTGTGGTGTCTAGGATTTGAAAGTCAATGCAGAATAGAAGTCTTCTGATTTTTGAAGCATTTGGTCCTATTTTGGAACAATCTCCTATCTTTATACATGGGTGAAGTATCCTTTGCTACCTGTCACACTACAGGAGTCAAATTTCTCATCTGAAAAAAAGACCTCTCCACACATATTTTTTTTCCTTTTGTGTTTTGATAAAACACTAAAGAAGATGGAGCTGTTGAGCTTTATCTGAAGAAAAGCTCAACTGGTTTTTTTTGTGATAATGGAAACACACTGATTTCAACATACAATTAGAAATCAACTGTCTCAGATGTTTATTTTCAGCTTTCATTAGAACCAACACTGTAACTAAAGCTCTTAGAAAAAATATTCTGAACTATTTTTTAAAAGAAAAAGGAAATCACTCACACCTGAGTGAAGTATGAATGGGGGTGATGCTGAGTGAGATTTGATGGGGGAGGGGGGGGGGAGGGGGAAAGACCAGATAGAAGGCTATTGAATTAATCTGGGGAGAGGTGAAGTAAGCCAATACCGTGGTGTTGGTTGTATGAGTAGAGAGGATATATATAGGAGAGATATTGTGAATGTAGTAAAGTAAAGATTTGATGATGGATTGGATATGTAGGGTGTGAATGAGGATGACTATAAGGATGGGTAAAAGGATTGTTCCTTTTTTATTTTTTTAATCCCAAGTATCTAGCATTTTGTACTTTGCACATTGTAGGCACTTAATGTTTACTGGATTTATTTGTGTTGACCGTGCTATACTTACAAAGACAAGAAAGTTTACATTGTAAAAAGATTTTGAAAAAGGGGTCAAACAAAAAAGTATCTATGATTAATCTGCCATTGACCAGAGAAAAGATTAACAATTTCCCAAGCATTTTCACTCATCAATAGTACACTGTGTCAAGAAAAAATATATCAAAGAAGTACTTAAGACCATACTGTACACTTAACATAACTTTCATAATTTTTAGAGAAACAAAAATTAGAGACATTAGTTTTACCTCTTCTTCTTTTTGAATATTGCATTGGATGGGAGTTACAATGGCAGAGTTGGAGGGCAGGCAGTCTGCATTTAACTCTTCTGCTGTAGATTGTAATCTATCAAATTTACGGGCAGCAATAACTACATTACACTCTGGTAAAAAAAACCAAACAAGTAAACAAAGCAATCTTATTAGGAAAATAAAATAAAATTGACAAAAAAACCTTATTAGTTGTTTCTAACTTTACCAGTAATTATATATATATATATATATATTTCAGTGAATCTATAACATTATATTTGGATACTCCACTAACAGATCAAAGCCCACCCAAAGTTTGCATTTTCATTCTTATTTGTCTTTCCATAAGCCCTTCATAAAGAAACTACCTAATATGCTGTTGGCCTTCCTCTGAGGGAGGGCCTACATGAATTCACAGACAAGAAAGGCCTGAACATCTCTAATACAGAAATGATAATGATTCTCCCTACTCTTCAACTGTACTTTGTTATGGCAGATTAGACGCAAGTTGTAAATATTTCTTCTGTTGAATTGTTAAACCTGTGATATGCCTGGCCACAAAGTACAGATTTCTTCAGGTAATTGAAGCTTACCTATGGTCATGGGTTTCATTACCATATTGCTATATCTACAATAAAGTTTGTTGATATGTTTGTGTACCTTTATAATAACACAGGAGTTTTTAATCTTTTTCTCATGAATCCTCCTTTGGCAGTCTGGTGAAAATTAGGAATCCCTTCTCAGAATAACATTTTTAAGGACATAAAATAAATACATAGGACTATAAAGGAAACTAATTATATGAGTATATAATTACATAATACTTATAAGACAAGTTCATGGACACCCTGAAATCTATCCCTGAACCCTTAGAGATCTGTTGGCCATAAAGAAAATCCTTGTAAATGCATCCAGGGTGGTTTTGTGACAGTGTCTGTCATACAGTAGGTGCTTAATAAATGCTTATTGATTGATTTAAAATAAGAAAATAGCCTCTGATCCCACACAGTAGTTGTCAGCCCAAGAATGCTCTTCTCCTTTTATTCAACAAACATTTATTAAGCAGTTGCTATTTGCAAGGCAAAGAGGCAGTGTGGTGCAATGGATAAAGGGCCAACTTTTGGAATCATAAAGAGTAGAACTGAGGTCCCTTCCCTGACACCTGCTGGCTGTGTGACCATGGGCATCATTTAATCTTTCACAGCCACAGGCAACTCTCCAAGGCTCTAAATTACAGACAGAGAAGTTGTAAGTCTTCATGGGTAGAAGCAATTTCCACATCAGAATTTCCCAAAATGAAGAATTCCCAGGTCAGAGGCAAAAAAAAAAAAAGTATACAAGGCACTGGGTAGCTACACAAAGAAAAATTACTGTCTCTGATAGTAGGAATAAGATCTTTACAGATATAATTATTGAAGTTGTCTGTGACAAGTGCAAAGAAAAAAATCCAGATAATGGGGTATAAGAAATTTAAGGGTGGGATCCCTTTCAGCTGGATTGGCTAAAAGAAGGTTTCATAGAGGAGGTGGCACCTACACTAAGCCTTGAAGAGAGGGATTTCAGCAGATGGAGCTATGGAGAAAATGCATGCCCTGTTTGGGGGATGATCTTCATGAATGAGAAAAGACAGGAGAGACCAGGATAAGGTTGAGAAACAGCTGTCTAGCTTGGCTGGCACATAGATTCCTATGGGGAACAGAGATAAATAGGACTGAAAAGGTAATTTGGAAATAGAATTCAGAAGGCCTTGAATACAGAGCTTAAAAATTATATTTTATCATAAATGCAATAAAGAGCCATTAAAGATTTTTGAGCAGAGGAGTGACATGTTCATATCTAGGGACAAGAAAGATTATTTTGGCAGCTGTTTAAAAGGATGAAGTGACCAAAGGAAAGAATGGAGGCAGAGAACAGTTAAGAGTCCAGGAAGAAATCATAAAGCCTTGAATAAAGGTGGCAGGGTATTTAGTAGAGTAGAGGGGATAGGCATGAGAAATATTTCATAGGTGGAATAGGTAGAGTTTTGAAACTAAATAGATGCTAGGACTAAAGGAAAGAGAAAAAAGAATTAATTCCTGAGGCTTCAAACCTGAGGAATCATGTGCATAGTAGTGCCACCAACAGAACTAGGGGCACTGGAAGGGAGGGGCAGGTTTGGAGAAGTTGAGGAGGATGAGTTCAGATTTGGATGTTTGAGTTAGATGTCCTAATAGGACCTTTGTGCAAAAATGCTGAGTAGGTAGGTAAAAATGTGGACCAGGGACTCAGGAGAGAGAGTAGCATATATAGTTTGCAGTCATCCACAGAGAAGTGGATATGAATCAAATCAAAAGGGGGGAAAAATGTAGAGAGAGAAGCCCAGGGCAGAACTTTAAAAGATACCCATAGTGTGGGACTGGGAGAAAGGAAACAATCAGTAGGGCATAGGAGTGGTTAGAAAGGTTGTTTATTTTTGTCTGTACCCCAGTTCTTCTCACATGTAGGGTCACTTAGATGACTGACTGAATGGAAATAGTTAGAAGATAATAATTGACATTTATATAAATGTCCTAAAGGTTACATTTCACCTACAGAATCTCATTTGAAGCTCATAACATTGAAGTAGCTGTTATAGGTATCATTATTCCCATTTTACAGATGAGGAAACTGAGGTCCAGCCAAGTTAATTGCTTTATCCATGGTCATATTGCTAGCATGCTTTGAGGTCTCCTTTTCTAAAAGTTCACCACACATTTTTCCTAATTGAACTAAAAACCTTCTTATCTTTCATGATCAAGATCTAAGGTCAGATGACCAGGTTTTACTGAAAACAAAGGGGTTGTACTAGATATTCTCTAAGGTGCCTTCCAGCTTCAATTGTGTGAGTCTCTGATCCTTAAGCAAATTAATTAGAATAAAAATTGCCATTTCCTTCTCCAGCTCATTTTACAAATGAGGAAACTGAGGCAAACAAGGTTAAGTGATTTTCCCCGGGTCGAATGGCTAATAAGCATCTGAGGCTGGATTTGAACTCAGGTCTTCCTGACTCTAGGCCCAGAGCTCTATCCACTGTACAAGCTAGCTGCCCTAATTTCTCTAGAGGTGAGGATGAAAAGTGAAAATAAGAGGATGAATACAATGTCAGGCATACTGAGGGGTGATATAGTACCAAGAAAGGGTGACACCCTTATGCCAACAACTTTACTGCACTTAGAAGGCTGTTCTCTCAGTCCTATACTTCTCACCTATGTCCTGACCCTCTCCCCATTTTCCTCTCAGCCCTTTCTGTCCCTTCTGAAGTGATAAGAAAATAAAGCTATAGTACTTAAAGTTTGCAAAGCATTTTTAAAATATAGTCCGTCCCTCAATGTTCACAACTGTGACAGTTAGAAGCTAAAAGAATTTTCTGCTTGTTCCAGAGGAAAAAGCTGGAGGGGAAGTCAAGGGCCTTGCCCAGTTACAGTACTGCAGTAATAAGCATCATTCAAACCCAAGTCACAGCTGACTCCAAGGCAAGCCTGACTTTCTAGACCCAGTTGGGAACCACAATCATTCTGCGACACTTTGACAAACAAATAATAATATAAAGACCTCCTTCACTCCCAACCATCTGGTGATCTAATAATGGAAAGTCTCCAACTGCCATTGAAGAAGGAACATGATACAATGAACTATGAAAGAACACAGTAAACTTTGATGGTTGATCCACTGTTGTAGTAACTATTGTCTTAGTCCTTAGACAAGAGACAGCTGAAGTATGGTCTAAAAGATTACCTCAACCCAGCAGTTTTGTCTAAAGGAACTACTGTCACAATTGTTAATCTCCTTTTATCTCTCCTGCCCCTCCACAGGGAACGTCTTCTCATTTCAATAACACACTAGTCAGCTACTTGGCAAATAGTCCCCCAGAAGCCTTCCCTTGCCTGCCTTGAATGACTCTCCCTTTCTCTACTGCTATTTCTACTGTGAAAGTTACTAATTTATCCTAAATTGTGGGTGGAATGCTGCCGATTGGTTCTAGACTACAGGCTTGAAATGTTATAAAAAGTAAATCTTATAATCTCCGGAGTTGATGCTATTTTTCTTTAGCATGCCAATACAATTCCCTGCTTTCAGTTTGGCCTCCTACCTTTGACCCACAATCCCTGGACCCCCTGCCAGTATACCTCTCCCAGAGGTCTCATTCCTCTCAGTAGAGAAAACTCCTTGACACCTGTCCACCACCGCCCTTCCCCCCAGTGACCCTCCAGGACCTGACCCTTCTCCCCAGTGACTCTCCAACCTGTTCCTCCCCCTACTTTCTTACTCCAGAGTTTCTGTCTCTCTTAAGCAGACCCTATCCCTCTGTGGCGCCCCAGTCCGTGTCCCATTAGCCCCTCTCTTTCTCCTCATGTCTTCACCAGACCTTCTTTAACAGTGGACTGCACCAGCCCCTTTCCCTCTCCTCTTCATGTCCCCTCAGTGCCTCTCCCACATCATCCCTAAGCTCGTCTCCATGTTCCCTCGACCCTCTCCTCCCAGGGTCCCACCAGCTCCTACCATTAGGCCCCTACCTTTTAGCCTCAATGCCCGTCCCCCTCCCCTAGAGTCGCCTTGCCTTGACTGGTCTCTCCTGGAGCATCTTCTGCTCTGCTCATTTCGCCCTCAGTGTCTCCACTCTAACCCCACGGTCCCCCAAACCGCCCGAACATCTCCCAGAGACCTCTACCCCAACCCTGTCCCTCCCGCTCAACGTCCCCAATTCATCCCCCTCCCCTGCACCATGGCTCGGGCGGGGCACGTGGACACACCTAGATACAGAAGCTCGGCTGCTATATAGCCTTGCCAATGCCTGTGCCGCCGCCTGTGACGATAGCCACTTGGTTCCGTAACAACCCTGCAGCCAGGCAGCTCCTGCACCTCGATATTGTGCCCATGACCTGCTTTGTCCCTGACCCACAAATCGATCGATTTCCGACCCGCGGCAAAGAAACTGACATACACCAGCTGAGCAGTCTGCTTGCCTTCCCTGGTGAGCTTTTTATCCTTACCTGGTCAGGGTCCCCAACAGCCCAGAGTTGGGCTGAAATTCCTGGGACAGCACCAATTCTCTGCACCTGCAGGACCACCCATTTGTGCACCTCGTGATCGCCGGAGGGGAAAAGAAATCCTTGCAGATACCCCACCCCCGGAGTCTAAACTCCGCCAGCTTTTTCGCTGCACCCTCGCATTCTGTTTGCACAGATGCCCTTTGAATGGTCTATTAACATCTGTGGAAAAGGTGAGGTGGTTTAAGCAACCCTGAATTCTCTCCCCGCCTTCCGTCCAGATGCAGCCTCAGATGACAGATTCTGGCTCCTTTTTTTTTTTTTAAACTTCGATGCCAAGTGAAAAAAGAAAAAAGAAAGGAAAGGAAAGACCCAGGGCAAGGAATGGGAGGCTTGGGCTTAATAGGATGCACTTTCTTCAATTAAAGAAAAAAATCCATTTCAATTTGTACTCTTGGATAAAGACAATCCACGCATTCCTGGGTGCTCCAACTGGGATTAGAATTTATTGGGTTTGGTCCCTTTCCCATCCCCCCAACGGATGTCCTTGCTGCTCCTGTGGGCCGCAGACTAGCAGATTGGGGGCAAGAAACAGGCTTTGCGGAGGAGAAACGTGGCAGGAGCAGCGGCTTAATTCCAGGGTCTTCTTCCAGTTTGTGAATGTTCGAGGCTTAGTGCTTGGTTAGGTTTCTTGACGTTTGCATCTGCTTACGCTTTGGGCCATAATGGAAGAGTCATAGTAAAAATTATGAGTGTATCTCCCGGTTCTCTTAAGCCAATGCCTTATCTTCTACACCCACGGGGAAGAAAGGCGGCGGCGGAGGGGGGGGGTGCGGAGAGGGGGTGATGTATTCAGCAGCATCCGAGTTGAGCCAATTTCATCTCTGGCTGCTTGATAACAGATTCTTCTTAAAGAGGGATCGTGCTGGAGTGTTTCCATCTCTGCAAGTGGGTGAGATGTAGGCAGAAGGAGCTTCTTTACCTATGCCTGGGTAATGCAAGAGGGCTAGACAAGGCTGCAGCTCTATTTTTCCTGTGTTTTGTGTCGAATTGAGTGTTGGATTATACTTATTCTTCTCTTTATATTTTTCATCTTGCTTCATGAATGCAACACAATAGTGGTTTGCAAATGGATCTGATCTGGTTCCTACTTGAAATTTTAAGAGGGCTGTGTGATGTGTCTAAGGGATGTCTTTCCTGCATCTAGTCAGAAAAGGAAGCATGCTTCTTTTGAAGGTCAGTTATTACAAGATATGGCCCTGTAATTTGGAACTATGCCTAAAGGGCTATAAAACTGTATATATTCTTTGATCCAGTAATACCACTACTAGGTCTGTATCCCAAAGAGATCATAAAAAAGGGAAAAGGACTCACATGTACCAAATATTTATACCATCTCTTTTTGTGGTGTCAAAGAATTGGAAATTGAGGGGATGCCCATCAACTGGGGAATGGCTGAACAAGTTATGGTATATGAATGTAATGGAATACTATTGTTCCATGAGAAATGATGAACAGGCAGCTTTCAGAAAAATCTGGAAAGACTTCATGAACTGATGTTGAGTGAAGTGAACAGAACCAGGAGAACGTTGTATACAATAAAGGCAAAATTGTGTGATGATTAACTATGGTAGACTTAGCTCTTCTCAGCAATACAATGATCTAAGCCAATTCCAAAAGACTCATGATGGAAAATGCTACCCATGTCCAGAGAAAGAACTATGGAGTCTCAATGCAGATCAAAGCACACTATTTCCTCTTTTTTATCTGTTTTTTCTTTCTCATGGTTTTTCCCTTTGGTTCTGATTCTTCTTTCACAACATGACTGATGTGGAAATAAGTTTAATATAATTATACATGTATAGCCTGTATCAGATTGCATTCCAAGGGAGGGAGGAAGGGTGTAAAAGGGGAAATTTTGGAACTCAGAATCTTATGAAAGTGAATGTTGAAAACTATCTTTACATGTAACTGGAAAAAAACACTATTAAGTGGGAAAAAAATAAGCAAACAGATAAATAAATGATGCAAAAAATTTCAGTCTTTCTTCGCTCGCATGTACAAAGGTCCAAAGGAACAGAACTGCTCAGCAATGCCTTGGGAAAATTGTTATTTGAGATGGAGCAATAATACGGATGAAAAGTTCTTGTTTCTGGCATTGACCATTTCCTCTCTTCTGCAGGTTTAAGGAACATGCCTCAGGACAACCGCTATGTTACATTAACTGGCACTATCATTAAGGGAGAAAAAGGGTCAGACATCCATGTTACTTTAATAGAGAAGGAGCTGCAGGAAGTCCAAGTCCAAAGAGTTAGCAAATGATGCTGCACCAGAGGGAAAGAAGGCCTGCCAAATTGCAGCAGACTGAGGTCACTACGTGGTCTTGTAGGTGGTGGTCTGCTTGCCTGTGGTTTTTGTCCTGATATTCATTGTTTCTTTCTACTATGGTACAAGCACTTGGTGTAACATTTTGGTGTACAATGGTGTACAATAAGAAAAGGACCTTTTGGCACAAGATCTCCTGCTGCCCCTGCCTCATCCTCTTTTATCCCGTCCTCATCATGACTGTGGCCTCTTCTCTGGGCCTCTATGCTGCTGTAGCCCAGCTCTCGTGGTCCTGGGGAGCATGGTGGCTGGCTGCCCGGGACATGGAGAAAGGCTTCTGTGGCTGGCTCTGTAGCAAGCTTGGCCTGGAAGACTGCTCACCCTACAGTATTGTGGAACTGCTTGAGTCTGACAACATCTCTGGCAGCCTCTCCACCAAGGATCCCACACAAGGGGAAGAAACTTCTGTTGTCCGACTGCCCCATTTCCCCCTAGGCCCTTGTTCTCTTCTAGAGTGGGCCAACAGCATTACTCTTTATGTGCCATTTCAAATTTCTGAAGAGTACATGGGAACAATATCTGGATCAATGATACCTTCCTTATTCCTCGGAGTAAACTTAGCTTTCCCTAGACATTCCCTAGACCTGCCTACTTTGGTGGCTCAATCTGGAATCCCGTGGTGGCCAGGAGAGAAGGAGATGGGGCTGGATGGTTGGGTGGAAAAAGTGTGCCAAAGCAGTCTTTCTTCTCTGCCCCAAAGTGATAACATCTGGAATATAAAGATTATGATTTTTAAAAATTTATTTATTTTTAGTTTTCAACATTCACTTCAATAAGATTTTGAGTTTTAAATTTTCTCCCCTTCCCATTTCTCCTCCCACCCTCAGTTCCGAGACAGTGTATAATCCGATATAGGCTCTACATATACATTCATGTTGAGCATATTTTCCCATTAGTCATGATGTAAAAACAGTTAGAACTAATGGAAGGAGCTACAAGAATGAAGCAATAAAACAAAACAACAAAGGAAAAGGAGAGCAAATAGTATGCTTCCATCTGCAGTCAGATTCCATATTTCTTTTTTGTTTTGTTTTTGCTAGGCAATGAGTTAAGTGACTTGCCCAGGGTCACACAGCTAGTAAGTGTCAAGTGTCTGGTCTGAGACCAGATTTGAACTCAGATCCTCCTGACCTCAGGGCTGGTGCTCTATCCACTGTGCCACCTAGCCACCCCTATATTTCTCTGGGTGTGGATAGCAATTTGCATCATGATTCTTTTGTAGTTTTCTTAGATTCTTGTGTTCTTATGAAAAGCCAAGCCTACCAAAGTCAGTCATTCTGTATTGTGGTTGCTACTGTGTACAATGTTCTCCTGGTTCTGCTTACTTCACTCTGTATCAGTTCATGTAAGTCTTTCCAAGTTTTTTTGAAGTCTGCTTGGTCATCATTTCTTATAGCACAATAGTATTCCATTACATTCACGTACCACAACTTGTTCAGCCATTCCCCAGTTGATGGGCATCCCCTCAATTTCCAATTCTTTGCCACCACAAAAAGAGCTGCTATGATTATTTTTGTACATGTGGGTCCTTTTCTCATTTTTATGATCTCTTTGGGATACAAACCTAGAAGTGGTATTGCTGGGTCAAAAGGTATGCACAATTTTATAACCCTTTTGGCATAGTTCCAAATTGCTCTCCAAAATGGTTGGATCATTTCACAATTCCACCAACAATGTATTAGTGTTCCAATTTGCCCACATCTTCTCCAAACATTTACCATTGTCCTATTTTGTCACATTAGCCAATCTGATAGGTGTGATGTGGTACCTCAGAGTCAATTTGATTTGCATTTCTCTAATCAATAGTGATTTAGAACATTTTTTCATATGACTATAGACAGCTTTAGTTTCTTCCTCTGAGACCTGCCTGTCCATGTCCTTTGACCATTTCTCATTTGGGGAATGACTTGTATTCTTATAAATTTGACTTAATTCTTTATATATTTTACAAATGAGGCCTTTATCAGAGACACTGGTTGTAAAAATTCTTTCCCAGTTTTCTGCTTCCCTCCTAATCTTGGATGCATTGGCTTTATTTGTGCAAAAACTTTTCCATTTAATGTAATCGAAATTGTTCATTTTGCATTTCATAATGTTCTCTATCTTTTGTTTGGTCGCAAATTCTTCCCTTCTCCACAGATCTGAAAGGTAAACTATTCCTCACTCTTCTAGTTTGCTTACAGTATCAATCTTCATACCTAAATCATATATCCATGTTGACTTTACCTTGGTACAGGGCATAAGATGCAGGTCTATGCCTGGTGTCTGCCATACATTTTTCCAGTTTTCCCAGTAGTTTTTGCTAAATAGAGATTTTTTTATCCCAGAAGCTGGAGTCTTTGGATTTATCAAATAGTAGATGAGTATAATCATTGACTGTTGTGTCTTGCACACCTAACCTATTGCACTGATTCAGCACTCTATTTCTTAGCTAGTAACAAGTAGTTTTGATGATTGCTCCTTTATAATACAATTTAAGATCAGGTGCAGCTAGGCCACCTTCCCTTGCATTTCTTTTCATTAGTTCCTTTGATATTCTGGACTTTTTGTTCTTCCAGATGAATTTTGTTATTGTTTTTTCTAGCTCT